ACTAACCAACCACTTACCATCAACTAACCAACCACTTACCATCAACTAACCAACCACCTACCATGGACTAACCAACCACTTACCATCAACTAACCAGTTTGGCACTCATGTATTACTGGACCAGCCTACTGTTGTTTCAAGTTTCAGACTTCGTAAATAGCAATACCATTAGTCTAGATTGAGCCTTTAGCTAGGTCACACAAACACCACCATCCAGCTGGTTAACTGTTACATAAACCAACCAAGATATTCGTTGGGAGTGTCCAACTCAAATTGCTGAATTTGTACCGTACGAGTTCAGCAAACAAGACTACACGATACCAAGCCAGCAGCTTGACCCAGTCAAGTTTAAGGAGACAATAGAGCTCTCCTGGTCAGATACTAACATCTATTGACCAAGACAGAGTTGACCTAAGGGTTAACTTACTCAACTAGTTGAGGATTATTATTATGCTGATAGGTTATTAGAAAACAAGGATGTGACGTATTTCCGGTGCCTATCAAGAAGGCTAAATCGTTCCATTCATTGTTATTCCATTTTAGACTACATTTTTCGTTTAATACACAGGAAAGGCTTTTGCCACATTTGGGCCTCCTGTGGTCTAAGCCTGGACTAAAAGGGCTGGACTTTCAATGCTTACAATAGATTTGTCTTTTATTTAGCCATACAAGTACTGCATATAAAGTGTTACTGTAAGGGTATTACCCATCGTGTCCTGTGTTGTCTTGCTTCAGTGCCTTATGCCATGCTATGTTATTATTATTAGTCATGTTAGAGGAGATCTAGTATGGGTGCGGTGTGCCCTTATCGAGACCATACAAAATCCGTGTATTCTGATTGGAGGAACAAAAAAATAGACGCCTTGCGATTGCTCATTACCGTACAGTGACCGTGCACCGTGTTTTTCACTCGTTACGGATCAAATCCTCCCCGTGTTGTGCTAACTTTCGTCGTGTTATTCTGTAAAGTAATGTTCACTACAGTTTTACACCAATTTGCATGATGACGTCACAGGCCGTCTCTAGATGTTTGGTTCTCAAATTTTTTTCATCAAAATTCATCCAATATGAAATGATCAATATTTTGATTGACGGAATGGAAACGCCAGAGGTCTGGAGTGGTCTTGGTTGCGTAATCATGAATTAAGGTGCACTAACTACTATCTCGTTCTATACTAATAATATTGTATATTACAGATTAGCCAATAGCATTTAGAGATCTTGTAGATGGATAACTTTTCGCTATCTTTGCGTTGATCAGATTTAGTTGTAGGTAAAAATGTTACAGCTATTTCATTGTCTTTGAAATAAAAGAGATNCATCAACTAACCAACCACTTACCATCAACTAACCAACCACTTACCATCAACTAACCAACCACTTACCATCAACTAACCAACCACTTACCACCAACTAACCAACCACTTACCACCAACTAACCAACCACTTACCACCAACTAACCAACCACTTACCATCAACTAACCAACCACTTACCATCGTCTAACCAACCACTTACCATCAACTAACCAACCACTTACCATCAACTAACCAACCACTTACCATCAACTAACCAACCACTTACCATCAACTAACCAGCTTGGCACTCATTACTGGACCAGCCTACTGTTGTTTCAAGCTTCAGCCTTCGTAAATAGCAATACTATTAGTCTAGATTGAGCCTTTAGCTAGGATACACAAACACCACCATCCAGCTGGTTAACTGTTACATAAACTAACCAAGATATTTGTTGGGAATGTCCACCTCGAATTGCTGAATTTGTACCGTATGAGTTGAGCAAACGAGACTACATGATACCAAGCCAGCAGCTTGACCCAGTCAAGTTTAAGGAGACAATAGAGCTCTCCTGGTCAGAAACTAACATCTATTGACCAAGACAGAGTTGACCTGAGGGTTAACTTACTCAACTAGTTGAGGATTATTATTATGCTGATATATAGATTATTAGAAAACAAGGATGTGACGTATTTCCGGTGCCTATCAAGAAGGCTAAATCGTTCCATTCATTGCTATTCCATTTGTCCTACATTTTTCGTTTATTACGCAGGGAAGGCTTTTGCCATATTTGGGCCTCCTGTGGTCCTAAGCCTGGACTAAAAGGACTGGACTTCAATGCTTACAATAGATTTGTCTTTTATTTAGCCATACAAGTACTGCATATAAAGCGTTACTCTAAGGGTATTACCCATTGTGTCCTGTGTTGTCTTGCTTCAGTGTCTTATGCCATGCTAYGTTATTATTATTAGTCATGTTAGAGGAGATCTAGTATGGGTGCGGTGTGCCTCATCGAGACCACATAACATCCGTGCATTCTGATTGGACGAACAAAAAATAGACGCCTTGCGATTGGTCTTTACCGCACAGTGACCGTGCACCGTGTTTCTCACTCGTTACGGATCAAATCCTCCCCGTGTTATGCTAACTTGCGTCGTGTTATCCTGTAAAGTAATGTTCACTACAGTTTTACAGCAATTTGCATGATGACGTCACAGGCCGTCTCTAGATGTTTGGTTCTCAAATTTCTTTTCATCCAATCTGAAATGATAAATATTTTGATTGACGGAATGGAAACGCCAGAGGTCTGGAGTGGTCTTGATTGCGTAATCCTGAATTAAGGTGCAATAACTACTATCTCATTCTATACTAATAATATTGTATATTACAGATTAGCCAATAGCATTTAGAGATCTCGTAGATGGATAACTTTTCGCTATCTTTGCGTTGATCAGATTTAGTTGTAGGTAAAAATGTTACAGCTATTTCATTGTCTTTGAAATAAAAGAGATCGCTGTATTCAGCCGTTAGTTCTTTCTCTTTCGATTTCTTTTTACTTATTTTTTTATTTTTTTACAAACACGTCATACTCATAATTTGGATAGTCTAATGATTGAACTTTTCCACGTACCAGATATTTATTGACAAATGAATCCCTCATTCAGACAAATATCCTTACCCCCGTGTGACTAATGGGAGAGGCAGCATTGATTTTGGGTCCCATCTCATCTTGGTCCTCCTGTGGTTTGGCAAGTGCATTACTCCTATTCCTCATGTATATCCCTTTATTATATTATTACAATCATTAGTAATAATCATTATTGCAAACGGATGGTCTATTATAATCTAGTGTGTCATCCAATCAGCTGTTGATGATTTTCCCGCTCTTTGTCCCACGTGACTGGTTGTTGGTCCAAAGAGTTCAAAGAGTTGGTTTAGTATTTTCTTGTTCTTTGAACCAAGAATGTCTACTGGATTATTGCTCTCTTCTCAACACTTTATTGACTTGCAAAACCAAACAAATTGGGAGTGAATACCTCAACTAGTAAATCTTTTTGGATTAGACTTTTAAAGGGATAAAATAGCATGGAAATTAATACTTTCAGCTTCGAGTTTGTCAGACTCTAAAATGGCCGTCGAGACTTTCGTTTGGACTTTATTATCTTCAGTTGTTTTGAAGGAAGAGTCTTGTATTAAAAGAACAAACAAACGGTAAGCAAAAACTCGGTCGTTTCTTGATATTCCTGTTTTTACAAGACACCATGTGTTTTTATCCCTGAAATATTTTAGACTTGCTTCTTATTGTCGTCTTCACGGGTTTTTATAACATATAATTCAGATTTTGGTTCTTCGTTGTAATTCCGTTAATTTTTTGAGAAGGAAAATAAAGTCAAATAATCCAAACGCTTTAAAATTGTAAATATTAAAGAAAAAACTTTGTACATCATGAAAAGTTGAATAAACTCGAGCGAACACAAGTCTTGTTTTTGAATCATGTTTTCTTTCTACTCAAACAAATTCGAGCTAAAAGCCCCTTTTTAACGGTCTTTGCATTTTCGTTTTTTAAAAATTGATTTGTTGAATAATTATTTTTCCATATATTTTAGTAATTCCACCTTATATTTGTCGGTACAGTTTTTTTTTTACTCATTTTTTTGTCCATCTTCGACGCAACAAAACAAGCGATCATTTGCCGCCATTTTTTACCACAAAGTTTTTACTTTACCGCGGTATTATTAACAAAAAACATTCAAAACCAATAAAAAAGACTATTTTATCAATGAAACCCTGTAGAATAATGAAAAATATGGAGGTGTTCTTTCATTTTCAAGTCGAATATTTTGATTTTGAAGAAGAAAGTAAGTATTTTTTTGCTGTTCTG